CTGAGAAACAATACCTGACATCATACTCTGACTTCCAACTACATAAATAAGTACAAGTGTGTGTGTGTGTGTGTGTGTGTGTGTGTGTGTGTGTGTGTGTGTAGATAAAGGAGAGAAGAAAGGAAAGAAAAAGAAGGTGGACAAAAGGAGGAATGTTTTTAATTATATAGAGTAAAGAACTTAATTCTAGAATATATAAAGAAAAATTAAAAACAATAAAACATATAGCTCAATTTTAAAATATGCAAACTATTTGTATACAAATTTTACCTAAAAATATATAAAAATGACCAGTAAAAGTCTAAGAATATAGCATGCATGTATTCATAAGTATGAACCTCAGTACCACTAGCACCACCAAAAAAAAAAAAAGCAAAAAAAAAAAAAAAAAAAAGCTGATTCTAGGCTTTTTGTCACTGCGACAAATGCTGAGAGTAACAGTTTAAAAGAAGAAAGATTTTCTTTGGCTCATAGTCATAGAAGCTGGCTGGTGTCACTGTTTTCATGACTTTGATGAGAAAGAACATCATGGTGGAAGGACTGTATGACAGCGTAGGCTGTTCACCTCATAGTAGACAGGAAGCAGTGAACTGGACAGGAAGAACCCAGGGACAAGACACATCCTTCAACCCTTCAAGAGCATACCTGTAGAGAAATATACAACATAACAGTGGACAATAGAGTGTGTGGTAAGAGTGTGGGAGTGAAGAAGAGAGCTAGACAAATGTATCTATTTGATTTATATTTTTTTGTTTTATTTTAAATGAAAGTTGACTTCTTAAATAAAAAAAAAAATGTTTTTGTAGCCAGTAAATGTGTTTAATCTCAGCACTTGGGAGGCAAGGGCAGGTAGATCTCTGTGAGTTCAAGGGCCAGCCTGTTCTACAGAGTGAGTTTCAGGACAGCCAGGGCTACATATAGTTAGAATCCCTGTCTTGAAAAACCAGAGAAAAGGGGGTAGTTGTACAAAGTACTTATCTTCTCAAGACTTTTTCAATACATACACTTGATTTCATTTACTTGTTTTTTGTTTTCTGCCAACTATTTTTAACAGTGTGTTTGTTACAAAGCAGAGATATAAAACCAACCATGACAGTCCATGGCTCATACAAGCAAGCCTTTGTTGCCAGGATCCTGTTTGGCACTTGTGGGCCTGGTCAGCTCACTGTTTGTGCCTATCAAGTATTACAACAGTTTCACTGGCTGCAGCAGTCCTGAACCATCCTGAGCCAGGCACCTTTGTTGACTTTTTGTTTGAACAAACACAATAGGGCTCTGGGGAAAAGAAAAAGACAAAATACTCCAGTAAAATGTGAGATAAAAGGCCCTTGTGACACTATAGCTTGTTCTAATGTCCTCACCTTAAATAAGATATAAATCAAGAGACACAACATAGGACTTAGAAGACCGTCGATTTCTTCTGCCTATCTCCTCCAAGAACATGTATTCCAGTGGACTGTTATGCTGGCTTTCTCCAGGATGCTCACAGAAGCACATCCATCCTGGTAAGACTATCTTTCTTCCCCCACTTCCCAGACTCATTAAAAGTGGGACTTCTCCTGAAAGACTCTCAGGAGTCGGCCCTATGCAAATGTATGAAAAGAACAAGGCTCACTTGGCAAAGACTCAGCTGTGCCAAAGTAACTGCGTGAAGCCAGGTATCCTGGCACTATGCCCCCTCCCTTAGGCTCTCAATTCTGACTACAAAGAATTAACTGAAGCCCTGCCATGTTCTTCACACCATTCTTCTGTTTTTGACAGTCCTAAAAATTCAATCTTTTAAAACTATATTTTCTCTTTAGCTCATGGTTTTAATAAGGCTCATCTCTAGTGGTTCTACACACTTTTAATCCCAACAGAGGTAGAGGCAGGAAGATCTCTAGGATTTTGAGGCCAGCCTGGTCTACATAGCAAGTTCCAAGGCAACCAAAACTACATAGTGAGACTCTAGCTCAAATAAAACAAAATAAATCTTCTCTTTCTAGCATATGGTTTGATAAAAATTGCCAGGTGCCAACTTCTTTTTTTTTTAATTTTTTTATTGGATATTTTATTTACATTTCAGATGTAATCCCCTTTCCCAATTCGCCCCCCAGGAATCCTCTATACCATCCCCTCTCCTCCTGCTTCTATGAGGATATGCCCCCACCCACCCTCCCACTCCCACCTTCCCAACCACGATTTCCCCAACACTGGGGCATCCAGCCTTCACTGGACCAAGGACTTCTTCACCCACCCATGCCTGACAATACCAACCAACCAGAGCTCCCAGGGTCTAAACCAACAGCCTGGGAGCACATAGGGAGGGACCCATGGCCCCAGCTGTATACGTAGGGGAGGATGACATTGTTAAGTGCCAACTTCTAAAAACAGGAAAGAAGACATTAAAAACAAAGTACCTTTTCCTTGAGGCATACCAGTGTTTAAACAAAAGAGAGGGCCATTTTTAGAAGCTGAAAGTCATTCATTCACAAAATACTTGAAGCATCACTAAAGGTAAGCACTGTGGATACAGAGGGAGGGAGAAATGGACAGACTTCCATGGAAATGCTCCAATCATACCTTCTCTATGGTGCTATCTATACGCTAGTAAAAGATTAAGAAAATGAGATTCTTCCAGGCAACCTAGGAATTCACCTTGAGGTTGAAGGCAAGCAGGTGGGTCTCAACTGAAGTCCCTTGTAAACCCATTTACTCCTGGAATAAACCAGAATCCAATGCCCTCCAGATTTGTTCCCCAAATCAATGTGACCTCTAAATAACAGCAAACAAGGCATCCTCAATTCAGATGTGGCACCTCTGCCTCTAGAAAATCATGGTCAGACTAGATCAGCTCCTCTGCAGTGCTAGTTGTCTGGTCTGTGGGAAACAATCTGTTATAAAATATGTAAGGTAGAGAAAATAATGAAGGTCCATCACTATAGAATGAACAAGAGCAGGGACTCTTGAGAAGCTCACAGTCTGATGTGACCAACTCTAGATTGAGAGCACTATGAGGATGCTGGAGGGACAGCACTCAGGCTGCCAGGAAGAAGATGTGATGGCTTGAATAAGAATGGCTCCTATAGGCTCATATATTTGAATGCTTAGCCATCAGGGAGTGGAACTATTCGATAGAAGAATTGGGAGGTATGGTCTTGTTGGAGGAAGTGTGTCACTGGGGTTGGGCTGTGAGATTTCAAAAGCCCATGCCAGGCCTAGACTCTCTCTGCCCTTCTGCCGACAGATCAGAATGTAGCTCTCAGCTATCGATCCAGTGTCAACCTACATGATGATAATGGACTAAACCTCTGAAACCATAAGCAGGCCCCTAACTGGGTACTTTCCTTTATGAGTTGCCTTGATCATTATGTCTCTTCACAGCAATAAAACAGTGACTAAGACAGAAGCATTCTTGGAATAACTCAGGAAAGATGAGCAGAGGTCCTCATATCAACAGGAAGAAGGCATCCACAGAGGAGTACACTGCCAAGACTAGAGTTATAAAGACTTCTTAGATGCTCTGGAAACCACAAATGTACTTATGTAACAAGGGCTGAGGGAATCAATGTGGGTTATCAGGAAACAAGGCTGGAGAAGTTAGTAAGAAGCTGTTATCATAAAGGGTCTGACCTGGTAAATAAGGGTCCTATACCAGAGGAAGACACAGTGGAGTCAGATCTGCATTCAAAGATGCCTTGTCAGGATCTTCTGGAAAATGCACTGTGGCAGCACAGCAGTAATGGAGACCAACTCAAGCTTTGTCAATTGGCTAACAAAAGAAAGACATGGACTACACTGTTCACCATGAAAAAAGACCGATGAAAATATCCCAGTGTGATGTAATGACCAACCGAGTGGGGAAGATGAGAGCAAGAGATACACAGGCCACTCTGCAATTTATTTTTAAAAAGCACGAGGTTAGGAATTCTCTTTAGAAGGCTAGGGGGATGGCTCATGGGTAAATACATTTGCTGTGTATGAGGTCCTGGGTCTGAATTGAACACCAAACCTATGGTGACATAGTGTGCATCTATAATCCCAGTGTTCCTATGGTGAGGTGAGAGGCAGAGACAAGAGATGCCCAGAAGCCCAAAGGCCAGCTATCCTGATGTACACTGTAGCAAACAAGAGGTCCTATATCACACAAGCTGAAAGGAGGGAACCGACACCCAAAGCTATCCTTGGCTCTTCATGCATGTGCTTCTGGCAACATGCACACACATACAAACATAGTCACACACAAACAAGTAATTTTTTAAAGGAAAATTCTCATTAGAGATTGATTATCAGGTGAATATCTAAAAGAAAAAACAAAAGTGCCCAGGGAGACTGATCCAAATGAGATTCATTGTATAAAAACCCCAATATCTAAGACAGATGAATTATTTTCAAATTTTAAATATACTGATTCTTTAAGATAATTCTAACCACAAAGATTTATTTTATTTATTTATTTGTTTGTTTGTTTGTTTGTTTCAAGACAGGGTGTCTCTGTGTGACCCCGACTGTCCTGGAACTCACTCTGTAGACCAGGCTGTCCTAGAACTCACAGAGATCTACCTGCCTCTGAAGCTCAAGTGCTGGAATTAAAGGCATGTGCCATCACTGGCTTAATTTGATTTTCTTAATGAATTCCAAATTGAAAAGAAAACATTTTAATACACTTGATTTGGTCATTTTCTTGAAACATGAATTTTTTATCAGAGCTGTCAAGTATCTCAGAATTCTGGATACAGGTTTTCTCATGCTTACACTGTCTATTTGATTAGGTTAAGGGGGAAGTTCCCCTTCAAAAAGACAATTTCTTAGAAGAGTAAAGATAAACTAAGAAGGAAGCCAAGTTATATTTCTTACTGGCTATGTCCTACAGTTAAAGGGACAATCCCCCTCAGAATGCCACCAAGGCCTCCCTGTTGTCCCTTTTCTATCCCATGACAGCAAGTATGAGCCAGAGGAAACACCCAGTGGAAGCCAGAACTTAGGTGAACAGGCTTTAACACAGGCCACACCATGCTTACCTGTTTACAATTCTTTCCCTCTGTAAATCTTCCAAGCCACAGCACAGCTCTGCAGCATAGAACACAGCTCTCGGCTCCTCGAAGCCAGGGCTGCCCAGGTTGTAAATGTGGTACTTCAAATCCCCTCCATTCATCATGGTCAGCACCAGACACAAAGCATCCTTGGTTTCATAAGTGTAGGCTAAACTAACCTAAAGACAACAGCATCATAAAAAAGACAAAACAACAACAAAAAAACTGCTTGTTCACTGCTGACTTACTCTATTTGCTAACAACAATCCAAAAATATCTACTAGGTTTATAATTATAACACCAAAACACTACATGCTTCAGAAAATTTCACACAACGCACATCACATGCCTCTGGACCTTTACTTAGCAAAGATCTCATGCAGTTCTGCATGGAAACTGAGTAGTTGGATATTGATTTCTCTACACTATGGTCTGACTGTGGGACACTAAGAACTTCTAGAGCACCTACATTCAGTAGTGCTGGCAAGATCTTGCTGTTCCACACTCCTCCAACATTTGGTGGAATTGATTCTTTTGGTTTGAGCCAGGATGGTTAAGGTATAATGGTTTCTGATTGAGGAGTTTTGTTGTTGTTCTTTTACTTTTATGGTGCTGAACCATCTCCCCAATCCTTGGTTTTGGAAGACTGGCTCTCAATATGTAGCCTAAGTTGGTTTCCAACTTACTGTATCGCTAAATATAGCCTTGAACTGTAATTCTTGTTTTAATTTGCAATGAATGTTCCTCATACTTTTTCATATATTCATTCGTCAGTTGTAGCCTTTTTTGTGAAATATCTTTATGCTTTTTGTTTTGCTTTGCTTTTGAAGAAATTAGGTTTTACCAGGCTGGCCTTGAGCTCCTGGGATCAAGTGATCCTTCTGCCTTAGTTTTCTAAGTAGTTAGGATTACAGGTGCATCTGGCAAAAAAAAAAAAAAAAAAAAAAAAAAAAAAAAAAAAAAAAAAAACCACCAA